ACGTTATCACCGAAGCCCTCAAGAATTTTCAACTCATCGCCGCGAATAAAAGCAAATCCGAATCTCAAAATTTGATCAAATTTATGTTGATACTAACTCATACCAGATCTATAGCTAATCTCACTGGGAAATATCTGATTGAGCTGAAATATCTTTACACGGATATAACCTATGGAGCCCTCATCAATGAAATGTTGGAGAAAAACTGGGACAAATTTAATAACACATCCATATTCTAATAATAATAGTATTATATGTATATTATAAAATAATCTAAAATAAAAGAAATCCATTAAGAACACGACCTGAGTTTAGAAATTTTTATCATTATTTGAAATTAAACTAAATCCTAAGAAATGTTTTATCGGATTCATCGTAGGCCTAAATTTATAGAGAGCGCGATGCACGCGCTTAGTTTAAATTTAGCGATTATAAATAGGTTCAACTAGAAAGTCTCTATCCTATATTAAGTCATTCATAAGTCTTTGATAATAATCATTTATTTGCTACGTTGTGTGTCAAATCATAAACCATAATTTTTTTTATCATTTGAAATTAAAAATATATAACTTACAATAACATTATTTTACCTTAATTTTTATAACAGCATTTTTATTTATGTCAAAATTTGCAGGTCAAAATTAAAATCCATCTCTATAATTATACATGTTTCGTTTTATGCCTATTATGTTAGTGAGGCAATTCCTTGGGGAAGTACAAAGATTTGAATATGAGGAATATTTTATTGTCAATTTTAAACCATAAGAAACATCCCGCTTCGTATGATATGTAACTTGAAAATTTCTTACCAACCACGCAATGCCAATAGGGTTCGTTCATATTTTGCACTTCAGTTTTCAATATTCTAGCAATTTCTGAATCCTTTGAATTAGAAGCCATCAAACATTTGGTTCTATTGATAATGTAATCTTGTAATGGGGTTGGCATGTCTACTTTTTTTATTACAACTTTTAAGTCCATGTGTTTTTATAGATAAATTTTTACTACCGATTTTAAATTATGTTATAAAAAAAGTATTGATTGTTATAAATTTTGTTAAAATTTAGTTAATAGAAAAATTAAAAATATATCATTATAACATTCAAAAAGTCGGAAAAATAATAGACTATATCAACTGGAGCCCTATATTAACTGCGAACCCATGTCAGGCAAGGTCTATAAATAAATTTTCGTCTGACCCGTTGGATAGGGCCTATTTTAAAAAAGTTGATAGGGCACTAATACTTATTACTGAGTTTTTAAAAAATTTACATGGCCATAAATATATTATCATCGATGTATAGCTTTTTAGACACGTCCATTTGTGTCTAAAAAGGGCACTGTTATATACTAGTATGTAGCATATATAGGATTATGTTATTATCCAGAAGGCAGGCCCGTCCTCATCCAAAGGTATACCGTCCCTAATACACTTTTTATTCAAAATATAGCCTAAAGAAGGACATACTTTCAAAAAAGATGGAACAATTTTTTTTTATAATTTATAAACGAGTTTATTTAATTTTACAAAAAGTTAAAATTTCCTTAAAATGTCAAAATGTACCTAACACTTTTATAAAATATATTTATTCATGACAATATTTTATAGGATTAGAAAAATATGTGATTACCATTTCCCTTGCCTTCAACCGGGCCCAACGGAGAATAGAAAATGGCCTGGGATGAGGCCTTTGGCAGTATATCTGAATGAGAGCGAAGGCTAGGAAAGGGGAATTGCGGGGTTGTTAATTTAAATTTATTTATAAGGTAGATAAAACGCGGTCTTTAGCAAAGGGAAAGTGTTATAAATATATTCTCAGTTGAGTGCTAGCGCGTATAAAAATTAAAGAAGTCTTGACCGAAAATAAAATTAGAAATAACTACTTGAAATTTCCGCCATATAAAGTGGTGAAAAGTAATCTCATGCTGATTACTCTGAAGCAAAGCAATGTATAATATCTAAACTGATATTTAAAAGGAATAAATGCAATAAAAAACAAATTGATATATTATATTAGGATTATTTATAACAAATAAAAAAGAAATGAGCATTCGAAATAAGAGATATTAGTAAAGAAATCACAAAAAAGCATGTTACCATTGTGAGTTGCATGTTTTGATGCCGCATTTAAATGAGGTTAATCGAAACGGTTACTGTGTATATATACAGATGTCATAATCAAAGGCTCTGCCCTTTTTTAAAAATTAATATTTTTCGACTCGGCCCACAATTTTTATTTTGTCATTTTGCATATTGTTTCAAAGGGGAAAATTAAACGGTCCATTATATGAACTTCGAACTGATTAATTTATATTATTTCTTAAAAATCGATTCTGCCCAAAATCTTTAACATTTTGAGTTAACCCCAGATTTCTAAAATCGTTTATATCCTTTTTTGCCCGTTCAAGGCCGGGTTCCTGGCCTGCAGGTCTATGAAATATAGCATTAAATTAGTTCGTTCTTCAATATGAAAACATAAAAGTAATAAGTTTTCTACAAAACAGAAATAGGAAAGCTGCATTATTTACTAACAATAGGGTATACGAATAAATTATCTGGATAAAATAAATATTTTCCTAAAGAAAAGTTATGAGGTGACCGAAATAAAAAAAATAGTGTCTTTTAATTTGTAAATAAAAGTATTTTAGATTAACAATAGTCATATACAATTTTTATTCTTAAAACGAATTTACATCACGATTATAAAGATATAGTGCGTATACAATTGAACTATTACCCCTTTGTTTTGGCAATAAATCTGTCAATTCTAAAAGTAATTCAATAAAATTTTATAGATTTAAGAGGATAAATTATCAGTGTTTTCAGAAAATTTCATCAGAGTCCAAAAGTTATGCACATTCAAAGTGGGACAAACAAAATTCGAACTTTCGAAGATGTAAAAATTATTTTATTTTTTTTAAATTAAACTTTACATTTAAGCAGGCGATAATAAAAAAAAGATTTTCAGTAAAATATGGGTTTAATTAAAATATTACTGCAAGAAAAAGATTAAGGAGCCAAGGCTTTTAAAGGAGAATTGATTGCAAAAATTGATGCTATGGGATCAGCAGAAAAACGGTATGGTGGTGGTAGACCACATACAGCTTGTACTATGGAAAATGTTGATTTGAAACACTCGTGTTGAGCCAAGGCCGATCTGGCATCCACAGAACAATTCATCCAATATCCAGAGAAACTGGTATTTCGCAAACTTCAGTGCATCCGATAATCAGAGGTGCAGCTGAAATGTTTAAAAAAAATAAGCCCAGGACCCAACCGATGCGAATAAAATTTCCCGTCTGGTACGTGCCAAAAACTTCTACAAAAATACCCTCAGAGGTTAGTTCATCTCATAGGGTTAACGGGTGAAAATCTATTCACAGTAACACCACCGATAATCTATAAAATGAGTGTACGTTGCAATTTCAAAAAGAAAAAACAAGTTGCGGCCATCCAATTGCTACCTAATAAAGGCTCTTTTTAAATATAAATGTGTCCAACTATCATGGTTTATAAATATATGTATATTTGAATTTCTTTATACTGCGGAAAGATTAAAATTATTTAAATAATACTCGTAATTCATACCATCCTGTCACCAGCAGTCATTGCTGCTTCTGTGATAAAAAAAATACACCTTTTAGTGTATCAATCTTAGCAATCATATGTTCTCCACTTGCACAAAGCAACTTAATCTCCTATTTACAATCTCTACCTCCTCAAGCTAAAAAGTACTATTCCACATACTAGCACTAGCCGTACCCCGCCCCTTTTTAGTGTAGGCATATAAGAACCACACTTATATATATTTTTAAAATTTCTACTTATATCCTTAAAACATAGAAATATTAAAATTTATTCATTCAAATAACTTGCCTCAGTTTATATTTTTACCTTAACAGTATTCATTTATTTGATGGGTTAGGTTAGGCACTTCTACATACCTACACTTTTTAAATTCATTTACCCCTCTCCTCATTATTCTAATGATGATAGTGCCTTAATAACTCCCTGTCTGCCCCCTAGTGACGATTTTGCGTCATTCTCATATGGTAGAATGCCTGGGTCAAGTCAATCCAGTAATCAAATATTTTAAAAAACCAAAACTGTATGCTATATTTTTATTTATTAAGTGAAAATAAAAATATAAGTATTCAAATTAATAATTAACAGATTTGAGCTATTACTATTATTAACAAAAAAGCATTTATAACTTAAAAGTCTAATTCAATCTAGTAGTGTATAAAGCATATTCATTCTTATTTAAATATGAGAATTCATAAATGAGCTATAATATAATGGTGTAAATGTTTCTTGAGAATAAAATAGACTTAAAAATACTGAAACCAAAAAAATATCAATTCGTTATTAAGTGTAAGAACGGTAAAAAGTGGATATATTAAATTTTTAATAACAATGATTTGTTATACCTAACTATAATGTATCTTATATTAAATATTCTATATTATGATTTAAATTTGTATAAGTCTTTATAATAAGATGAACATTTTCAGTATAATAGTTATATGGTCACTCACCACAAAGTTGACTGGCTTTGGTCTATCCTAAATAGTGATATATTATTGCAATTCTATTATAAAGATTAAGAAGAAAAAAATAATGACATTTAAATTAATTAAAATTTTAAGATTAAAAAGAATTTTTTTGATAACCCTTTTCGACGAAAAGAAAAAAAATAATGGTAATCACAATTCTGATAGAAAGTCATAGCATAATTATATATTTTTATTAAATTGTTTAAAACTATATTTATATATTATATAATATATGAACTTGAAGACCATAATTAAAATATATATAAGAAACTAAATAGCTATGTATATTTGTATATTAATTTAAAAATAAAATCAATTGCATAATATATTATTTTTTTTTATAAATACTATTATTTTTTTAAAAAAAAAGGTTTACAATATTATCACACATTATATATTAAAAGTAATTTGCAAAAATGAATCATAAAATATAGTTATAATACTTTGATACAAATATTTTAGCACTCTTTTTATAAATTTTTAGTTAGCAAATTTATAAAAATATTAATTACTAAACAATCAATCAGTTTTATATAAGGAAAATATAAGAATGAATAAAATTTATTAACATTTCTTACTCATTAGCAAACCCCATATAATTCCTTGGAGAATTCCCTTTATCTTTTTTCATAAAAAAACTCCCTTCCCCCAAATATTTGGTGTGTTTTTTTATATTTAATAAAATATAGTTCTTCCTAAGTGTTTTTGACAATGACGTTATTTTTAAAAAATGGCTTTCGATCGAAATGGATTTTAGAAGGCTATATTAATAAACTAGCGACTATATGCTAAATCTATAAATCCAAAAAACATAAAGAACCCAGGAGTATAATATAAAAATTCAGAATTCACTAAAAATAAAATCTAATTTCAATCGAATGTTTGTATGGTTGTTGTAAAATAAAAAATGTTATAAAAATGAATAAATAAATTAGATGGAATAATAGTATTTTTTCTAAATTTTTCTATCGTTGAGCTAAAATTTTTAATACGTCGTCGAAATATTGTCAAAATATTTGAACAAATAAGTCACAAACTGAACGTCCAATTCCTTGAATTTTTTTTAAAATGAAATTTAAAAATAAATATTTTTTTAAAAAAAAGAAAAGAAATAATTGAAAATTAAATTATTTTTTCTATCTCATTAAGTTTTCCTTCACATAATAAGAATGGCCCAAATTATCTTCTTTTAGAATTTAATTTTTAAATCAGGAAGCCCTGGTAAATAGAGGTCAGTAATAAATTTGAAGTTTTAGTTATGTGCAGGAAATGTTATCCCCTTATCAATATTTCGATAAATTTTTATTATTTCCGTAATAGTCAGAATCAGTTATTAGATACTTTTTATTATGACATCTATTTAAATTCTGAGACAATAACAAGTAAAAGAGGCCATATCCTGCATTCACAGTTCATGAATTCGCAGCGAGGTATACAAAAATTAAGATATTTTGTATATTTCGCCATGAATTCCGCTAACTATGAATACAGGGTAATAAGTGAAAACATTAAGTAAGGTTGATTTTTTTGCAAAAAGCAAAAAGGACTCCAAAATTATTAATATATATAAATGACGGTTTGATTGGAGTGCTCTATTCAACATTTATTTTAAAATGAATTAGATTTTAAAAATAGATAAATAGTAATTAAATTTCGAACCCAAACGAGTACATGAGATTTAATTGAATACAGTGAAATTTATCTATATCCGATATAATTAGCTTTAGGTGGGTATAAAGAAAAAATATTCTCTTTATTAATTTTTAGTATAATTAATTAAGACAACTTTTTTATTGAATTAAATTTAAATATTCGTTGCAAATACTGCATTTTTATCAAAAAATAATAAAAAATATTTTTTAAATAAAATATCAATAGTACATTACGTTTTAATAATTGCGATTACTATAAATAGATAACTATAATTAAATTATTTAACATGATAGGCTTCTGACAGGACTTTCATAACTAACTATAAAGAGGTTACTGTAATAAAAAAAAATTATTTATTGTCGACTTTGAAAACAAAGTCAGAGCACTCCCACCAATAATAAAGCAAAGGGCTTTTTATTAAGCTTGTATATTACTATCAAATAAAAAATATTGACAAGTGGTCCTTTTATGTCAAGATCAAGATTTTCCGGAGCTCAAATTTTAGTCCATTAGCATTTATAACTTTGAAGATATCAATGGTCAAAGTATAAAAAATTACTATTTTTATGCTTATTAAAAAAATATTAAATCAGAATGGGGTTAAATGGACAGTTATTTAAAATAAGAATAAAAATATTTTGAGAACATATAGCATGCACTTTATCTTGATATTAGAATCATTATCTATAATTCTGTTGTTATTGGTAAATCTTTAATTGAATGACAATCGATAAGCGTAAAAATAATTATTTTTCATATTTTGACTGGCCCTTAATATTTTTAAAATATAAGAGCTAGGATACTAAAATTTTAACATTGCTTTGACATGTAAGTTTGCATATAAAATTTTCCCCAAATCCTAAGACTCCCACAAAATCATGTTATTTTTGATCGATTTTATATAGGCCCGTTAAAAATATCAAGAAGAACTTCAAAAGATATTTCAAATATATATTTCTATTTATAAAAAAAAGAAAATATTTACTATTATTTTCATAGAAGATCGGAGCAAATTTTCCAATAAATTATTGAATATAACAGGTGAAGTTAAGTTTATACGTTTGATATCCACTAATTTTCTATAAATTTATTAAATATTAAATGAGGTATGAAAATGTATAACATAATAATAAACCGCTATTATAAAAAAAATATTATAATAATGAATTATTTCCACTAGTTTTATTTATCTTAAAAAAATGGCAAGGATTACTGCTTATTCATTCTTTAGTATGAGAAATATTTCTTCGTTTTAAATTTTGTTTTTTGCAATATATTAATTTTATTAAAAACAATGGCCATTACTTAATAACCCATTCCATACCATCGATCCGCACTAAATTCCCATCGTTTCCTTCCATGTTCGAATGAATTTGAGCAGGATCAATGATATTGGCTTTAATATTGAGTCCGGAAATTTTGACCTTCACTAGGCCCATAAATATATTCGTTTGACGATTGAACACAAATAAAAGGGCCTCCTGTCCATCTTTATCAGATACGTTCTGGGAAAAAAGAGTAAATAAATAAATATGAGTGTTAATTAATTATAATATAGGTTTATTTTTGCCGTGTATTCATTATAACCTCCCTTGAGATCTAAAAAAAATATTGCGATTATTATTTATTATTCTCGTGAAGAGGGGGCAGATATTTTAAAAAAATTTAGTAAATCTTTTAATTAGCTGTCGATAATTTATTGTTTTTTCAAAAAAAAAATTTATTAAAATGATAAAGTAGCAAATAAAAATGAATTTATGGACAACAACAAAAAATAGCATTATATAAATATTATATATCGTTGGTTGAGTATTATAGTGTTCTATATCCATTTTAAAGTTTTCAGGAGAGCATGTAAAAAAAATATATTCCTTGTATAGATAAGAAATCACATCATATAAATGCAAATAAAGGATTTTTCTAAATTATATTTTAACATTCTAATTGGTGATTGGAAGAATACAGTAAGGCAGTGTCCTGGGTCGACTTAATTTTGATACTTAATTGTTTTTTTCGTATAACCTAAATGGCTTTTGAACTAGGACACCCTATTTTGGTTTGTTTTAACTATTTGATAGTAGTGTTATTATTTTATTATCGTTTTTTTAAAAAAAATTCTTTTACTTTTTGGCGATTTAATATTAAGTCGACCTAGGTGACACGGTAAATGATTAATATACAAAAAAAAAATTGTAAAAAAAGTAATATAGAACACAAAATCAGCTGACGATATGCTAGGGTTTGAAACTCTGTACAGGAAAAAAGTACCCCATTCCTAATCATAAAGCTTCCATGGTTGATTATGACGTTTTTGACATCTTTTTCCACTTGCGGGTAATTGCAAAAATCTTCGGGTTTACCCATTTTATGCGGGTTCGAATTACTCGAGTTAATAGTTCCGGCGGATAGGATATCGGAATTCATTTCCTCGTGGATATTTCGAAGATTCGTGCCAGTAATACAAGGTGCAGTAGAGGGAAAATCGAGACCTTCTTCCGTGTATATTTTGAGCAGGGCGAATTTTAAGCTAGAAATAGATAGGGAATGCGAATAATCGTTTGCTTGGAAGGGGGAATGCTTGAGGGCTATCGATAATAATATATAGTCTTTTTAAAAATAATAATTTTTGAGCCTCTATAATTTAATTGTAAAAAAAAATTTTTTTTTGACAAAACGAAGAATAAGTAAGTATAAAAGGAGTTTGTGGTATATTTCAACGATGTATTAAAAAATGAAAAGTTTAAAATCTTAAATTAAATAACATTATGAAATATAATTTTGGACCAAAATTATCCATTCATCGTATTTTTTCAATAGTGTTTTAAAAATCCAATATGGCAGAAATCAAGAAACAAGTGACACAACGCTTGCTCTGATTACTAAAAAAAAAGTATGCACACAGAGCCACAATTAGAACATATAATTTTATTATGATATATAGAGAGTTGTATAACCCCCTTAATCTAATGACAATATTACCCCCTCCATCTTCTGCCAAAATTAGGAAAATAGGAAATCAAAATTAGTTCTTATCCCCTCCAATTTTAATAACGAATTTGTGTTATAACCCTCCCCCCCCCGGGTAGGGTAAAATTATTTTAATATTATTAGCTTAAAAAATATATGGCAAAAATCACAAAAAATTATTGATAAAAACTTCCAGTATCTGAGCAGATATTGTATATATATTCTATATTTTGGGGTATAACCAATTTTGTTACCATGTTCAAAATAAAATTTAAAATTATATACCGTACAGAGACCTGAGTATTTTCTAGCAGCCTGGGCCGGGCCTGGATTAAAAAAAAAATTTAATTTTTAATTGGCTTTGGGCCTAAAATTATTAAATTTAAATTATTTAAAACAGTTGCTATTTAAAGAATTATTGCCTTTTTTTCTTCTAATAATAATAAATTTCAGTATTGTAAACAAAATGATTGCCTAAATATATTTAAATATTGTTTATTTTCATTAAATAAATAAAAATTAAATTTTTGGATATGGGCTTGGGCCGGGTTTGGGAAATTTTTTTGAAACTTATAATGGGCTTGGGTTTTTTAACATTAGATATGGGCCGGGTCGGGCTTGGGAAAAAAATTAAGGCCCATGAAGGTCTCTGATACCGTAACTTCATTATGCATATTGCATATATTACAACTTTAAAATGAAAGTAATTAATGAATTATACATTTAATAAAGAATGTCTGAGTTAGATTATAATTATAAATAAATTTTGATTTAATATTTTCGACGCCTATAATAATAAATTAATACCCGGCATCTAATAAAATATAGACCCAGCAAAAAAAATCTATATAATTATCTAATGTATTTTAACACAATTTTTAATTTTTGAAATCTTGGGTCTATAAGAGAAGCCAACGTTAGATTATTTTTGAAATAAAAAGTGAATTAAAATACTTATATAAAACTACTTGCAGAGAGCTGAAATAATTTCTGATCTATCATTATCATTACTATTAAATGCGTTTCTATTTCACTTCTGAAAAATAACGCCAAGTTTAATGTAAGCCCTTTTTGTGAAGATAGAAATTCAACTGTTTCTTTAAATTTCGAAGGAAAAATCAATATTTGCCATAGTTTGAAAGTTTGAGATAATGCTTTCCAATTCTTTTCAAAACATTATTGATTAGATTTTTATTAGCTCCAGATATGCTTTCGAGCATAATTAATACATTATGTCATCTGGTTGTGACTTTTAATTTAATATTCTCATTTGAGTGCATTATTGTTATTATCTTCAATGGAATCGCCAATTTGAAAACGGGTATCTAGCTTTGTATCAGTGCTATCAAGATCTAGCATATCCAATGTTAAATCTATTGTATTTAGGCATTTTCTTGATGACATTATACAATTAAACCAATGATGTAGACCAATTATCGGTATAAAAATGTATAAAATATTATTCTTTTTAAAAAAATTAATGAGCAGGCCGTCTAGGTGTGGTGATTTTCATAAACGACAAATTTTCAGCATGCTTAAAAATAGCCGGCACATACTTATAATAATAGATAATATCAAAGCTTATTTTTTCCTCATCAAAGGAGGCTTAGAAAATATTGTCTTAGAGCATTTTTGACTAATGAGTTTGATTAGGGGATTTCGCCTCTTTTTTGGATGAACACTTTGTTGAAACCACGATAGGTATAAATATATTATTTCCAGCTAAGTGCGAATAATTATGGAATTCTCTTTTCTTAACAATAATGTGTATGCATATCCGGTCCCAATACATGCGTTTCCAGGTAAGTCCATTAGCCTCTAATTATTAATAACTGAAGTGTCTTCAGGCAAATAGGTGTGATGGAACATAGGCTTTAAATAAAATTTGGATTTCATTAATTTTTCCTATATATTTTTATCTGATAACGAGACAGTAAAGTGGATGCCTTTCTTCAAGAATCCACCATTAACCTACAGCTTTGACATTAGCAAGGTAGATATGTCAAAGCCAAGATGTTAAAAGAAGCTTCTAACCATTCATGGCCTGATTTATCCATTATACCAATGAACGGATATTATACATTGCTAGATGTCATTGCTCAAAAGTCGGCAATCGATGATAGCAGCATCCAAATCCTTTTGTAATCTTATGGATAAATTGGGCTGATAATGTGTTAACAGACAAGATTGACCAAGCATAGTTTAACATATCATCAAAAGGTTTAATTAATTTAATCATGAGATTTTTGTTTGTTAGAAAAGAGGTAATAAAATAAAATATTGATAGGGAAATGATTAAAAATTGGTCCTAAGAACCATTTAATTAGACAGTTTTCTAATGACGGATGGGACTGGCTGAAATTTATAGTCGAGTTTTGTTAATTTCATAAAGATATTTGTTTTAACTTTAAAACTTTTGTAAGTACTTTGCAATTGAGGTAAACACTGAAGAACCAATACGATATTACTTATAATGTCAAGATCATCAGAACTTTATCTTACATAGCCGCTAACTTATAGAAATTCTTAAAATTAATTTATAATCATACATTTTGATAAAATCTGTTAAATAATTTTAATTAGCCATATTAAATTGCACATAATTAATATAAAATTTACTAACAAGAAAAATAAAAATGTGGGGAAAAAAAATTTAACAGAAAAGAAATTGCAAAACAAAAATAACCAATACCCCCTGTCTCTTTTCGTTGATAAGTAGTAATAGGCTTGCAGTTAGCTTCTCTCGGCTCATTGTACTGAAGGCTACTCTGAGTATTTTTAGTAATATTGGTGTTAATAATCATGTTATTATTATTATTGAATTCGGTTGGCATGGGTTTGGGTCTTTGTCCTATACCTGATGGCTGGGAAAACCCTAAAAAGCTTTCTTCCTGATTTACCACGCTAACTATCGTTTTAAGGATTGTCTAATCGATGCAATAAAAATAGAAAGATTAGTTTTCATTCCTTCACATAATAAATCTAGGAATTTTTTTATAAGTTAATTTGCGATGGGATTACAAAATAAATTAATATAACTTCATCGGTATTGGTCCAAGGTTTCGAAGGATGCTTGAGCCTCCTCAACGTGAGCGCGTGATATTTTTGTCTCAAATGCAGAATTTGGCGTATTACTTCCACTTCGTGTTGAAAAACGATTCTATCATCCAACTTCAGGTCTATCTTGTTAGCGCTGCTACTCCTTTTACCTTTGTGAGAAGAACTTGAGATATTAGATAGAGAGTTCGTTTCGATGTTAAAAGCATTACCGAATAAAGAATTGTTTAACTCACTGCTGGTCGGGCTGTAGTCAAGGTTGCCATCGGATTCGTTCTCACTGTCACTCTCATCTTGTAAAATGAGATTGGCCATGTTTTGCAGACCTTGAAAAGAATTAGAGAAAAAAATTGTTCGAATGAAGACTTTGACGGCATTCAAAACTGGTAAAAAGGGATTAAATATTAAGCTAGAAATAATTGGCGATAGCATAAATATATCACGCCATTACCTTAGAAATCCAAACTTTAACTAAAACAAAAAGTTTTGCCCCCAAAAATTATAATTATTCATAATGTAAAGAAAATAAGGTTACTGTCAGGATTTTCGATATCTTGAACATAATCCTTGGGGGTTCTATTAGGTCCGACGAACAAAGCTATCACTACAGGAGATATTACACTGCAGCCACCAATGTAACCACCTAACTGTAAATTTTCTGATCTATCAGTTAATGTCGCCTAAAAACAAAGAAAAATGTCGTTATTTACTTCAGTAGTATGATATAGAAGAGTGTACACATGCAGATGGGAGTTCGAATCGGACAGATATTCTCTGATTTGGACCAGACTCGGATCTCAATAAAATTTTAAAATTATTTTGTTTTTCTAACATTTAAATGAATATTATTTTCAAATAAAACAACCAAAATTTTTAATTATCATTCAGCGCTTAGAATTTTTTGAAATGTCATACTTTTAATTTTTTTTAAGTATTTGCTATTTTTAATTATTAACTTAAAATAATTATTTTTAGATTATAACTTTGAAAACTTAAAAACTGGACATGGTTTTACATTACCCTATCAAAGCCATTATCGCAAACATTCCTTTTCAAGCCCTTCTTCTCATCTATGTTTTCCTTGCCCCTGTTGTCATTATCTTTATCGGTGGCATTCGACTCGCCTTTATTGATAGCGTTAAGTGTAGGTTGTTGCGGGGTCGAAAGCGGAAAATAGTGGTCGAAAACTATCCATTCCGAAGGCAGCCTAAAATTTGAATTGGCAAAGGAAGTGCCAGGGACGAATCGCACTCTTAAATCTGGCACGCTAGTATAGGATGATCGGAAAATAAATGTGAAATATTATTATAATACAGAAATTTTGGACAAACATTTTAACAGCAAAAAAATTATTCATCATGAAACAATTTTGGTTTTCAAGTTGAAAGTGCTAATAACAACATTTAAAGACAGCTTTATTTTCGCTATCATTTTATAATTTATCTTCTGTCTCACTGCAAAACCACCTGCCAACTTTTTTTAAAACATTACAGATGAGACAAAACATGAATTTTGACAATGACAAATTTAAAATTTAATAAGATATCAAATATTAATTTTTTATAAAATGTGTTATCAACAAATAAACAAAAATTATAATAGTGTGAAAGATATACATATAATTTTAACCAAATTGAAAAATATAGAATGGAGTTATAAATTATGATGAAATAAGGCATTTTTAGAGTACTAGCTTTTGAAATATGATAGTAATATCAGTAAATATCTAAATGTAAAAACCCCAATTTTAAAATTTTGTTAGGTAGGCGGTTTTGAAGAGGCCGACGTTATTTTTATCGCAAATTTAAGAAAAAAATTTAAATCCTGGTCATTTATAATACATATACGTATTAGAAGTCGTTGAGTTTCCGCTAGTGCCACTTAAGGCTGTTGAATCCAACGAAGCCCCTCTATTACTATTTGCGTCCTTGTTAACGGAGCTCGCTTGATTGTTAAAAAAGCAATTGATTGGGGAGGATAAAAACATCACGTTGTCTGTATATTAAATAAAATTTAAAAAGTAATATTTAATATTTTGTGCTACATAAAAAAAAATTTAAATCAAAGAATTTATAATTCATTAATTTTGTTAAATTTTGAAGTTATTAATGTAAAGTTGATAGGTTGTGCTTTTCTAAATAAAAAAAGAAATAAGATTAAATAATAAAAATATCGATTTTGAAACAATAAATTAATCTAAAGTTTCCTTTATTCATAATAAATTATGAGTAAGAACATTATAAAATTAAAATTATACAAAAAGAAAAGAAAAATTTTAAAAAAAACTAAAAAAGTAAAAGTAACAAACCTTTTCTTTCTATATAAACTCCTATTATATAGTATAATTATTTGCATATTGTTAATCTTATACAATACATAATAATATCTCCTTATTCAAATTTTAAATGAACTCTAAATATTCAATTTTATAAAAAAAAACTATTAAAATACATGTATATAAAAAATATAGTAAAGACTAAATATTAATAAACTAATTATTCAAATTTATACTCACAATCACAACAATTATATTTAAAAAATTGAATTAAATTATAACTATAATATATTCATTTTATAAAAAAAATAATATTTTTGATTTTTGAAATGGATAGGAACGGTATTAAAATTATTTTTAATCTATGGCTGTGTTTAGACCTGAGGTTGTGCCGTCTAAATTAATTTATGTCCCAGGAAAAAAAAGAGATTAAATGTCTGGCAAATGTCCCGCCAAATGTTTAAGATCCAGCCAAAATGTCAAAATTATAAAAAAAATTTTTATAAGATATCAATTTTAAATTTATTTTTTCGGAAATTTTATTCGTAAATTTCTGATACATAATTTCAAAGTAAAAAAATCAACTCTGATTGTGAACGAAATATATTTCAAATATTCTATTAAATCCAAGTAGGAATCGGAGGAATGAATAATCTTGGCTAATGTGATAATGTAGATGTTAATTTTTGTAAAATTGAAAGTGACGAAATCGAAATATAAAAAACAATAAATTATGATAGCAGGCTTTAATGCATCTAAAAAGATATAAACATATTTCTTCGTAGAAACTAAAAGCTTCAAATAAGACCAATCAATCCACGAAATAAACTCTAAATTTTAACTCTGCTTTACATATCATACTGACACAATTTATAAAAACGTATTTATATGGAATCACGAAATCAACAAATTAGCAAAAAAAGATATACCTAAATTGTCTTCGCCACTTTCCTTTGACTGTTTATTATTTTGGGCGCGAGTCGTCAATTTGCAGATGTTCGGGTAAAGGCCCATGGCTAGGCAGGCCTTAACGACGGCCCAATGCTCTGAATTGCTATTGCAATCTCTTATATCGCCAAAGGATCCCGTGAAAATTACTTTATTATTCCCGTTGTTATTGATATTACCGACATTGTTGTTATTCAAAAAACCGGCACTGGATGAATTTGGATTGCTGGTTAGACCAATTGAGGAAGATGTGGAGCTATTCGAGTTATTATTGAAACTCCGTAAGGCCTTAAAATAGGAAGATTAAGCAAAATCAGGGTTTCGAACCGTTAAGTATTGAGGGTCGGTTCGTTTAACTTTTTTGTTTAAAATTTTATAAAGGTTTGGTTTCATTTCGGTTTTTTTTGATAAAATTCATATCGGTTCGATTTATAATTTATAACCGTTATCTTCGGTTTGTTCCGGTTTTTATAAATATAATTTTTTAAAAAAAATAATCATAAATCATATCCTATTTACATTAATAATTTAAAATTAATTAAATAACAGTTCGGTTCGCTCTTTTTATATTTTCTTTATAACGGTTCGGTTATGATTGTTGTTCAGAAAATTATAACAATTCGTTCCGGCTTCGCGGTTCGGTTCGAAGCCATGGTTAATAAATTTAAGTGGGTGGGGCAAGGAATCCGATTAATAAAAGAAAATATGATTTGTGTGTTATCGCAGGTTATTCATGTTCAATGCCACTATAACCTTATTTTTTTAAAATTATTATAATCTTATGAGAAGTTGAGAAAATGTCGTTCGAGTATTATCATAATAAATTTTATAATATTATAGTATTAATATGTTGAATACACCTCAGCAGCAACGAGTACAAATATACTTAGGTGTGGAAGAAAATCTGGTAAATATTGCTGTTGTCAATCAACTTAGAAAACTTCCAGGTCCTCGGAGAATACCTCCACTCTATATTCTGTTATAAATTCCGTAGCTATATTATATGAAGGGCGGACCTGGTGGAACCATAATCAGATATGTGGAAGACTGTTAAATGTTGATATATTTTCAATGACTCTAAACGAGGCCCATGGGGAAGGGGGAGGGGATTATATTATTCTCTACCCGCCAAGATGAATCCACTGCAAATCTCCGTCATTCACAGCCTAATGGTTTATAATCGTTGATAATAATTATTGCTGTAAATGTATAAAAGGTTGTGGTCTAAAATGATTTTCTGTATTTTATTCATTTGCGATTTACTTAATCAATAATCATAGGCGCATAAAAAGTAATCACAATACATATAATCTCTGAAGTTTAACAAAAAATGTTCTTATATATATATCTAAGTTTAACAAAAAATGTTCTTTATATATCCATAAAAAATCAATAATCATAATAAAAAATAATCAATTATTAAGTTATGCAAAACGAAAAATAAAATGTTCTTCGTTTTAAATTGAATTTAACTTAAGTTATAAAATAATAAAAAATGTAAATTGTAACGATAAAATAGAACGATAATATAAACTAAAAATAAAATCATTTTTTGTTATTTATTATTGCCGTTAGGTAAATAAAACAAAAATTTTAAATCAATATATCTAATAGTTATCTTGACTAAATAAAGCCCTACATAGAAGTACTTATAAAACATATAAACAAATATAAGCCACGAATACCTCAAATGCTCCAATGTATTGCAAAGAACAGGACCATCAGACTCCATTTAGCTCCGACAAAAATATCTTCCAGGAGGTATTATTTTACTTTTCAATTTATTGATGCTCAAATGGGTACTAAAAATCTAAAATTCTTTTTGAGGAATTTTGTCGGCTCGAACCCCCAAGAGTACCAGAGCGACACTACTAATTTATTTCCCCGCAACCAAAAAGATTGAAATATTAATTATGAGTTTTGTAATTAAAATAAAATGATTATCTCACCCACAGTAAAATAAAGGCAACATTATAATTATTTCTTTTTTACTAAGGGGTAGGAAATTTTTTTTAGTTAACTGGAGTTGGTTGACCATGTTTTATACGTTGAGAGACATTGTGAAGGGGGGGAGGGGGTTATAAGCGGATTCTTTTCAGCAGTGGGAACAAACAGGTGAGAAAAGAGGTAGCTATTTTACAGATATAATAGTGCTAAATGTGGAGGTATCCACCATTGACTGAAGCATTCACCGAAGGTAGATAACGCAATATTCACTGAACGAGGAATAGGACAAAAAAATATAAGCATTTAACACATATAATTTACAAAACATATATATAGAATAGTGTTTATTATACACCTTAGGGAAATTTTTTATTTCAAAAACAACTAAAAAAAACTAAAAAGATCTAATTTTTGTTTTGAAATTTAAAAATCTGTTCAATTTTTACAAATCATAATCTACCACTAAGGTTGTTGAGATTATATTACCTTCGGAGTTTAAAGTAAGATCAGGAAAAATGAAGCAAGGTAAACAATAACTTAACAGAAAAATGTAGTCAATTATGTGGATTTATTAATAAATTTAAATTCATTATAAATTATAAAAAAATATCGTTTTCCAAATCATACATCTTGTTGATTCATAGCCTGAAGTTGGTTAGATTTGATGAGTCCACAGGCCCTAAGTTGACCTAAAATATGGGATCGCAGTGTGAATATTCGTTCCAAATTAACAGGAGAAAGGTTATTGTAAGCGCAAAATTGAGGCTCCCTTCCTTCTAACCTTGCCTTCTGCCAGTTCTAATTTTAAAGAAAGATATTTTTTTAAAAAAATTAAAGAAAAAGGTGGATTTTTTTCAAATTTATAAATTGGTTTTCCTAAATCAAATTTTTTTAAAATTTGTTTGTCTTTTTTTACTAAATATTTTTTAGCGTAATTTATGAAATTAAGCAAGAAAAATGACAAAACTTATTATAGCATTTAAAAATGGAAATAGTTCATTTTTTAAAAAATAAAATAAATATGTAATTTTAATAATTTAATTCATACAAATTTTTTCCTCCAAACTTTTCACGGTTTAGGATAAGATTAAATTTATACCTATATTTTTTTATGAAGAGGTTTCCAACCTGTAGTTTTTAAATTTAGCTATTTTACGGTCCGGGTCTAGCTTTTTATACCCAGCCCAATGTCCGGTTTATAATTTAAAAAAATGGTAAAAAAATATTTATTTAAAAATTAATATTAATAATTTTAAAATGTTTTTTTTTTACAAATTAAATATAATTTAAAGTAAATTTTTTAAATTGATTAAATTTGTGCAAATAATATTTCTTCTTAGCATCTTAATAAAATTAATCAATTTTAGAAAAAGTGCATGAAAATATAACCAATACCTATATTAGAAATATTATTTGAACAAATTTACTGTAAATAAAAAAAATTATATAAATCTTGGCGTCAGTAATTGGCATGTCAGTCAAAAAAGTCAATATCACTAAATACAAATATATTTTAAACAGAGTTCATTTAAAACGTTACACATGGGCTAAAACGAAACGCAACTATTGAAATTCCAACAAATTAGAGACGAGGTATTCATATATAAACTATAAAATTAATACTTGGAAAATCCTGATAAGCACCATGTGATCACTAAATGATGCCTTTTCAGACCTCAAAGCAAGCAATTTGTTCCTCAATATCTCGGACTCATTGCTAGAATTTAATTTGTCACAATCATCGACCAAAGTGCCAGCTTCCTTTCTAATGTTTATAAAAAGAAAAATTTTAACATTAAAAAACTGTGTAAAAATATACTACAAGATAGTCAAAGAATCGTTTTTTTCGGCCAAAGCCTGGTGGCAAAAAAAAGAATCTTGGCCCAGCCCAGCATTACCAGATTAGGGGAGGCAAAGTCTATACTTTATTGATGATATTTCCGCAGTCCCGACCCTAAGTGCCTCATATTAAAGGTTTTAAGTAGAAATATGTAACTAGATGTATGACAAAATATAAGATGCGAAGATTTTTAAAATGCAAATAAAAAATGTTCATTGGTGAATAAGAGCAATTAATATTAAGGAAGAAAGACACTTAACTGCAAGAAAGGTGCGTCACATTTAAGAAAGTGGTAATGATAACTCTCACCCTATAAGCGTGATGAGAGTGCGTCGTTCCGTTTTAGGGGTGCCACTGATTTATAAATCTGGTCTAAAAAATTAGCTAGAAGTGGTAAGAATTATATAATGAAGGAAAAATAGGTCATGATTTTCTTCTTTTTTTACCCAACTATGAGCCTATAGCGAGGCAAGTAAGGCGAGTGACTGGCCGCTAGAGAACTCACAACAGTAAGAACCGGGTCCAGGCATTTAAGTACGAGCGCGTGAATTATCATTTTTGCCCATTTGGGGTGCAAAGGGATATCGAGAGAGTGCTGGCCCAACTCTGTGAGGTCTAGGCAATCGTCCAACACGTCTATGTTCTGAATTTTTTATATAAAGAAATGTAATAATACGCCAGATTACCTATGCAGGCTTCTGATTTCGGTAAAACAAACATCTAGGATAAATTTGTTTTTTTAAACTTCTTTGATACAGGGTGGTGGATTTTAAAAAAAAATTTATACTTTAAAAAGTAAGTATAATCTTGGTGGATTTTATAATTGGAATTTTATAGTAAAAATCGAATTTTGTAATTGTAAAATAAAATAAATGCTAACAACTCAATGCAGATAACTTCAAAAATTTTTAAATGTAAGTAAAATTCTTTGCGTCAAAAAAATTCAATTAGCATCTTATTTCAATATATATATAAATGAATAATAATCTGTAAGAGGCATAAAATTTAGTTATGCTTGTAGAATCTAGATACAGAATGACGGTAAAAAGGTCAAATAATTCATAAATCTAGTTTGACCTTGTGGCGTTGAATTATATTTTGTAATATGATATCAATATAGGTCTTAGTATAATAAAACCTTCAAATTCTGTATCATGACCCTAATAGGATTAACGCTAGAACAGGGCTCCGGGGCTTTGCATAGAAAATCTTGCAAGGAGGAATTAACGGGTATGAGATGTTTGGCTTGTATCAAGATATCCGAAAGATCTCCCTGAGAAAATTTACACTTGACATGACTCGGCATGTACTGCTTGTAACGCGTCGAGCTGTAAACGGCGAAGTAAGCAGGGGAAGATGAGTAAGACTCGCGTCTTTTAACACTTATGTTGTTTTTAAAAAATATATATTTCTTATTTAAATATATGAGATATCGGGTGGCTAAGAAAAAGAGTTTGGAACATGAGCCCTCATAACCTGCTAAAATCCAAGAACCTGATACTTCTTTAACCAGAATCCTCAAAGAAGAAAAATCAGAACATGGAATAGAACTCTTTTTAGCCCAGGTTCCAAAGTTTGAAGTAGTAAGTAATATGAAAAAGTTTATTTTTACAATAAAATTTTAAGATTAATTTTTTAAAAAAAGAGCTGCGAATTTATTATTTTAACATGTTTTTCCTGTATTCGACGTTTTGCTTGGATATCCAACAGAGTTTATGACTACTGGAATTTGTGCTTGGCTCAAAAATTTCCTAGTTAATAATATAATTTTTATATTTTAAAAATAATTAAATTATTTGACATAATAAATAAGCTAAATTGATTAATAATGTTTTTTTTCATTGATTTCAATAAATCGCCAATTTTAAAAATCTATCATCGATATATATAATACATTTTATTATAAATTAGAATACATCAATTTTATATACCACAACCACTCATTTTATAAAACTTCCTATAATTATAGAGGAAAAACTTATGGTGTGTCTTAGGTAGTATTACAATACTTTATTAATGGAGGATTGGTTAATAAATACCATTGATTGGAAGTGGAGGAAACAAGATCCATATGGTAAGCATTTTATAATTTAAATGATAATTTTTTAAATAAAATTATAAATGTTATGCCTCCCATCATGTGCATTTATAATATGACTCTTATAATAACCTTTTCGACCAATCCCGTGTCAATTACGTACGAAATATCGTTGAGTGGCAATATTGTTTCACCGATTTCCGTAGACAAAATCTTCGTTATAAGATATTTCCAAGAAAAATAATTATAACTATATATTTATCAACATTTCAATATTATATTATAAAGTATAGATTGCCTCAGGAAAGATGCCAATTAAAAAAATAAAATAAGAAAAATAAATGAGCCCCCCCCCCACCTTCCCAATATAATAAATAGTAAAAAGTTGTATTAGACTAAACAAGAATATATGCATTGTATAAAAATAAAGCGATATATATTTTATACAAACCTGCAGAGGTATCATTTGCAGGGCCCGGGCCTTTAAAAAAAATTTTCGGGCGTATTTTCCACCATAAATTTTATTAGAGATTTTTAGGCCTACTTATTGTAGGCCTTTGCTTATATTATAATTTTATCTTTTCACTTTTTTTTATAAAATGCTTTTTTTCTAAACATTTTGAATTATAGAAATTATATTCAGCAAATTCTGTCTCTTTAGATATCTGAACATTTTATACACTCTAGAAATATTACCTAATCATAGTTATTAGAAGAGATAAATTAAGAAGAATTTTATGGTTGCTAAATTATCATGTAATTAATATTTAAGGTTTCAAAAAATGTAAGAAAATATACTTTAAATTTTCATGTGGATGATGAAATATTACACAGGGAAGATATATTTATATTAATTTTTACTTTTTGCTAAAATTTCAAATAGAAATATAACCTATTTGAAATTGAATGCCTTGCAATTAATAATTCAAGAAAACCTTGTATATTTTTTTCAAAAATTATTGCTAGGGAGGACCCCCCCCCTTTGGATACGCGCCTGATCCAGCAGATAATATCCCTTTTCATGAACTAAGAGTTAATTACCAATAACATCTAATCTAATATTAAGAAGATATTGCACATGCTTAATAGCTTAATAAATTATTTTAATAATTATATCTTTATATTTCTTTTAAATGATTTGATTCATTTTATTCTGATAATATCAATCTAAATTAACATAACATTGACAAAGTTTGATTTTTTTTAAAAAGAAAGAAAACATGAGAAAATAGTAAATAAACGTAAATAAACTATTTATATATTATAATAATTTTTAGTCAAAACTTACGATTTTGATATAATTAGATTTAGCAGCGGAGTATATTTGCTTGAGGTCGGTAGGATGCATGTCCGCGTACATCACAAATATTCTAACACTTAATTTAATGATGGAGGGTGGGGGGGAGGATATATATATAAAACACCACTAGTAATGATAACTTAATTTTTAATTGTGTCTTATGTTCATTATTAGATTAGGTATTTAAAGACAATTTTATATCAATGCCTGTTAAATTAGTTCAGTGGCCCATGCTGAAATCAATTGAATTTAACTTACTCTCGTGATTCCATAACTCCCTATCAATGAAATGTGTATATGAAATATCCTTAAGATGGGCAAGGCAATATGTTTTGGTCATATTCGATTGAAACTTTATATATGGAACGGAGCACTTTTTTTAAAGATTTCAGCGGTTGGGGGGGGGTCTACTTAAAGGGGCGGGAGATATGAAGGTGATACTTTTTTTGGAAGAAATTTTTTAATAAATATTATGTTAAATGTTTTAAAAAAATCGAATAACATGTGATCGGAAATGAGTCTCGAAAATAAGTCATGCGTGAGAATGACATCTTTAAATCTTGATATATCATCGAACGTGGGTAGAAACAAGAGGATGTGGCGAGCTGTTGAATCAAATATCAAATTATATTATAACCGATGAAGAAATTTGGAAAAAAGATTTTTTTTAAGAATTGGGGATTATATTTTTTTAAATATTAATTTAATACCCATTTTATTATTTTTTAAATATTATCAGCGTAAACCAAAATATAATTCCTGATATAGATCTGCATGACCCGGAAAAAAACAAAAAATTATACAACAGGCTCTGCCATAATTTCATCCAAACTCGCATAAGAAAAATCTTTCGGGTCCTGATGGAAAAAATCGTTTAAAAATTATAGCGCCGGTTTGGGTCAAATCTTGCAGATTCACGTAAATTAAAACCCATAATCGTAACTTATTTAGTTCATACCCTCGTTGATTTTGGTTGCATCCCCTTCTCCTTTCCCCGCTAAATTGGAATTTTGAGCCATGTCCTGATTTAACACCAATTTGAGCAACAAGGCTATCAAGACATCTTGGTAAATACGGAGCTGGTCCCTGTTTCGCGATGCAAAACATTTCTCGTAAAATAAAAGGCTGAGCTGATTGAGCAAGATATTTTGATCTTTGTAAGGTATTTCTTTGGCCTTGAGCGTGGACGAGGTGATCTCGGGATTGTTTTCGCCATTAGTATTTCCCGAGGCGTTAATCGCGGTTGCGGTATCCAACAAAAGCCGCGTTTCTTCGAAAGGAGAAATACCGGCTATTTGACTGTTTTATTGAACAAATATTGTGATTTATAATAAGAAAACAATTTGATCATTCCTTCCTTTATTCTCATTATTGTTTGTAATCGAGTTCAAAACACCTCGTAGACATTAATACCTTATTTAATTCTTTATATTTCATTTGTACAGCGTGTATACCACAAAATAAAGCCTTTTATAGTCGTGCTTGAATAAAAGGGATAAAATACTTTTTTTAATTTTTTGATTTGGACTTTGTAAATGTGTTTTTTTTCATATAATTTATTACGTATCAATAAATATAAAAATTTAATGTATGCCATTCTATATTATTTTTTGCCCATTACTTTTAAATTTAAGTCCTTGGTATTTTTGTTTTTGCCCAGAAAAATTTGTACATATTTATTCTATATTATTTCCGTAATTCATTATCAAAGTGTACAAATTTAGTTTTTGAACGAAAATAATATTCTAATATCCTGTTATTTAAAGGTAAATTTTTTTTAGTGATTGGGGTTATATCGAATTCAATATCACGATACTTTAACACTGTTAATAACAACTAAGCATTTTAAAAAAATTATGCATTTTTTCCGTGAAAAAAAAATTAACAGATTAAACTCAACTAAAACGTATTGATGAGTGCCACACTATGCGTCCTATTAAAATGTTTAGCCCAATGCAGTGCTGTCCATCCATTAAGCTTGCAAAATCTATTTATCCCGCACATGCCATCATTGAAAGTCGATGTGTCGCCCAGCTTGTTATCTTATAAATACATTTTTTTTAAATATACATTTATTCATTTAAAATGTTATGGTGTGTAAATCGCTCTTTGTTAGCCGATACTTCAGCCTCGAGGTTTTCGCCGGAAATATGGCTGGTGTCTTTAGGATTGTGAAAAAATTACATAATGCCTCAAGGCTTAGTAGCCTTTTCTCCTGCACTCACCTGTATAATGAAAACCAAATTTGCCAATCTTGTAATACTTTTATAATACTCCATCTCAAGATTTTTCGTAATTACATAGGGAAAAATATTTAAAGAAAATTATCATGTCACAAACATCAATAATTGTTTTAATTTAAGAATACAACTTCAATTTTTTCTCGTGAATATAGAAAAGAATGATTAATTCATTTTCATTAATAAATAAATTCCGAAATATAATTGTTTTTTCATTAATAAATAAATTCCAATGTATAATTGAGTTTAAATTGCACCTATAAGATGCGGAAGAGTATATAATATGGAATTGTTTATTTCAATTAAGAGAGTAAATACAAAAATTTTTGAAATAAAAAAAGAGAAAATTTTCAATCAATTATTCGTGACAAAATTATTGAAACAGGGTGTAAATAAATTCCTATATTCTTTTTACTATTGATGTTAGGGTTGGAGAGATTTAGGTGAAAGAAAATCTTTGTCAAACAATGATTGAGGCCCAAAGCAGCCGAAAGCATGAACGCGTTGCAATCGAGGGAAGTATGGCATTGATTTATCACTTTAAAGGGGAATAAAAAATAATGACATATTACATAATTTGCATAATAAACGGATCGGATCAAATACAAGATCGGGTACCGAACCTATTTTTAAAAACGGGTCTTCGTTCTGGTTCACTTGAAAAGCGAGCTTTAAAAAAAATTAAATACTATTTTTAATAATATTTGAATTAGCTCTTCGAAAAACTGTATAATACTATTTACCATCGATCCCGTAATGAGGGAGCAGGTCTATAAGAGCCTCCATATACTTTCCCCTCATTATAACTTGACCATTTTTGTAGTAGTCGCCAGAACTGCCATAATTAGTCTTTAAGATGCTGAGGTTGCTATCGGGTCTGGGGTCTGTATTAGAGACATCGTTGTGATAATGTAATATGAGCCATTCTAGGAGCCAGACCTCTTCCAGACTTTTATCTATATATTTGTCCAATTCCTGAAAAGGTTTTATAAGTTGTATAAAAAAATTTAAATAGTATAATTAGGTATGAAATAGATAGACAAAGTAATTGATGCACAATATTCGAAACATTCTCCCAATCAAATAAACATTTATTCTTTCGTTTGCTAATTGGCCCTCTTTCATTTCTCGTTAATTATTGATACATAAATAATTTTTTTTAAATTTGATCTTCACTATTTAAGTAAAATATCAAATTATACAGGTGATAAAAAAAGAAATCTGATAACCCTTGATATCTTTATTCTAAGCCTGAGTCCAGCGCGAAATTATTAAATTAAACGCATTTTTCATAAAGTTAAAATAACGATCACTAATTATTTTTCCGAATCGCAAGAAATAAATTACCATTTTATCTAGGGACCCGAACTGAAAGAAATATAGGTTTGGCTCAGGGTTCGGATAAAAATAACGGTTCAAGGTTAGGTTCGGAAATAATAAAAAATCGGGTTGGTTCAAACCTCTAAAAATTGTTTGAAACACTTTGGTATACAAACCTTCATTCGAATTATATTTTATATTTTATTTGTTGTGATATTTTGTTAATTTTATTGAGTTCTAAAGGAGGTTTCTTTTTATGTGACGCTCAAGATTTGCTCCGTAGTACCCTTCATCAGTATTACGTTTTGATGTATCATTTATAAAACTATATGTAAATAATTTAAATTGGATTTAATTTATCTCTAGTTGTTACTAACACTTATCAAAATTGATTGATAATATTAAAACAATTAGGATATAAATTATTTAGTAATACATATTCTTTTATAAGCACAAAAATCTGAGGCTAGAACCAGTTCAAAGACATTTCAGCGATGGTTTAGGTTCGAATAGAAAATCATTACGGTTTAGGTACCAGTTAGGTTTAGATCCCTGATTTTATTTTATTTTGTATATAATAAATCTCTTAAGCCCACTCAGCTCGATATTTTTTTAAGCCTGAGCCCAGCCCTATCTTTTTTAAACTTGAGCTACTTATAAGTTGAGCTCTCTTTTAGACAAAAGTTCGAGAGTAGTGTCATGGTATTCGATACAAACACAACTTAGCTTAGAAAAACGCATGATCAAATTCCTTGGTTATATATATAAGGAACAAAACGCCATACCTCATATAATTGATGTTCTATCCTATCTTACACATAGGCGTACGACTCATGTTACATTCCTCCATTCTTCAAAAAAATATGTTACACAGCTATAGAAACCCAAACTTGTTAAAAAAAATTGTATGAACGACTATAGATAAATCCAAAATAGAACATGATGATGCACTTTTGGAGATTTCAAGCAGAAGGGGGGGGGGGGGTATTCTAAATATCATAGTATCTGTACTATAGATTCCTGACCACCATTACTGTTATTAGCCAGATGTTCGTTGAGACGAGGGATAGTATTAGCAAGGTATTCTATGACAACCGGATCCAATTGTGTATCGCACGGGATAGCTAAAAATTGTTTCAACCTTTCGATGGCCATTGTTCCTACAAATAGGTCCAAAAATATAGCCTTAAAATTTCATTAAAAATTGAGGCACTTACTTTTTACTGGAGTTACAAAGGTGAATAACTTCTTTTTTACATCCTTAAGATTTTATTAATTTTATAAACAATATTTAGAAAAATCTAATGAACCTTATCTTAATTTTCCCCAGTAGAAACCTAACCGAACCTCAAATGAACAGTAACCTTTATAACAAACCATATTCGTTTTTTAAACTATATAGCTAAAATAAATTTAGACCTGTGCACCACCGACTCACGCCGAAACAGCCACCGATTGATATCATATGCGCGAGCCGGCTCGCCGCCGATTTTTTTATGGTGGCGGCGTGGCGTGTATAATTTTTAGAATGCTGTTTAATTATATATATGTCGTATTGGGATATGGAATCTCGTGGGATTCGGAATCCCAACAATATTATTGGTAGCACAACTATTTTTCCATATAATTTTGTTGCCAACATTTTTTGAATAAGGACTACTAATAATATTATGGACAATTTATGGAAAAATAGTTGTGCTACCAATAATATTGGGAATAGTATTTCTAATATTTTAAAAAGGGCCCCTTCTTTTATTTCATATTTAAATGATCGAGGGCGTCAAAACATAATTTACTCTCAAATAATTGGAGAAAATAACCTAATCTTAGGTGATCACGTATTATTACCTATCCATAGGACAGATAGAACTAATATCTGTCCTAAAAATTTAGTAGGGAAAATATTAAAAATTGAAAAAAATAAAATATGGGTAGGTTACGTGTGCTGGAAGAATTTCAACACCGTTTATTGCCTCTAGTCTGTATAAAACGATAAAATTAAATGATTTTGAAGTTCCCGACAAAGATATATCAATCATAGGTAATTTAAGCTTTTTTTATTATAGTAACATACTCCTCAAATTAATTCATCTATATAAAATATATTAATTATTTATTTAAACTGCTAACAATATTTAGGAGCCTCCCGAAGTGTTACAAACTATGGGAAAACGTCGTTATGTAATTGCAAAATGGGTTGCATGAACAAAAGATGCGAATGTTACAAGAACAATCTTAAATGTTCAAATAAATGTCATGTATCATTAAATAATTTTGTAATAAATAATTTATTTTTTAATTCCGATTTTTTTAAAATATATATTCATGCGAAAATATTTATGATTTTTATCCTTTTTGAAAATTTATATTAATTAGTTTATTATATAACAAATAAAGAAAATAAAAACTAGACGGCAAAAATTGACAAAAAAGTATATTATTTTATTTTAGAAATAAAAACAAATTTAATAGAAAAATATATATTTCGAATAAGGGTTTGACTTATAAAAACAGGAGAAAGAAAATTAAGATTAAATTAAAAAATTTTTTTAATAAATAAAAATATATTTATACACCATATTAAAGTAGAATTAGGCGTATTTGATACATAAAATTAGTCCTGACCCCCCCCCCCCCCAATAATAGCATCTCCATCGCGAGGTATCGCTTGGCTTGTTGCCTATTCAATATGTCTTAATTATCGATTGATAACTAATAACCATATATTTATATCTATAATAAGTTCAATAAGAAATTACTTAAAATATATGGGTCTGAACCACGAATCTGTGCTCGGGGATTTTTTTTTAAAAAAATGAGTTTTGATGAAATTCCATTTATATGATAAAATAAATTATTAAAGATAAAAGGGGGTTAAAGGGAAAAATGAATAGAGTTTAAGTTTATTTTTATTAGTTAAAGGGAAAAATGAATAGAGTTTAAGTTTATTTTTATTAGTTAAAGGGAAAAAATGAATAGAGTTTAAGTTTATTTTTATTATATAAAAAAAAATAGCTAGATTTAAAAAAAAAGTTGTTTTTTTTCGTATTTCCAATTTTTTTTTGTTTGTTTTTGTGAATATTTTTTTTCAAAAATTTTAGGAAAGTAATAAGAAAGAAAGAAAAATTAAAATATGGGTTTTCTTAAGTCAGAGTTTAAGTTTATTTTTATTATATAAAAAAATAGCTAGATTTAAAAAAAAGTTGTTTTTTTTCGTTTTTTCAATTTTTTTTTGTTGTTTTTGTGAATATTTTTTTCAAAAATTTTAGGAAAGTAATAAGAAAGAAAGAAAAATTAAAATATGAGTTATTGCTTAAGTCGGGTATATTATTTTTTTTGTTATTTTTTTTATGTTATTTTAAATAAATATAGTATTAATGAGTCAATTTTATTCATTAAATTGAAATATAGTCTTAAAATCTAAGCAATTTTAGGAAAATTAGCATAAAATATTAAATTTTGTATTTATTAGGGGTAAAATAGACCACATCTTTAAAGTTTAAGTGATTTTTTTAACCTTTGTTGGAAAGGGTTAATTCGAAATAAATTGAAATATATTATTGAAATTTATACAAAATAAAAATATCGAAATATAGTAATAAACGAGTCAATTTTATTCATTAAATTGAAATATTGTATTAAAATGTATACAGACAGATGATTATTAAATTCATAAGAAATTCTCCAAATATTAAAATAAAAAATTTTAGGAAAGAAAGTAATAAAGAAAGATCACTTAAAGTAATAAGAAAGAAAGAAAGATTTTATTAAATTCTTAAGAAATTCTCCAAATATTAAAATTTTTATATAAAGCTAAAATATTTAATTTAAAAAAAAAAGATTCCAAAAAAAACGTGGGGATTCAAGATCTCGAATCCCCACGTTGGGATTCCGAATCCCACGAGATTCCATATCCCAATTATCATTATTTAAATATGAACATTAACATTAATAAAAAATAAATTGTATTTTATTGCTATACATATTAGAATAGTGATGTCATTTACATTTATTCCTACATCCCACAAACAATACATATTAATAATTTTTATGGACTTGAACGTTTTAAATCACACTATATGCAATTATGAAATAACGACTTTCTCTACTAATCAATCATAAATCAAGTTATGTCTGGGGGTACTTTGGAAATCTTATTTTGAAGAATGAAAATAAGAAAAGCATAATAATGCCTGATTAAATTTATTGTGAACCTTGCCTAAAATTGGGGAAAAAAGATGAGAAAGATTCGGATAAACATAATCCATTTTCACAGTAAATTTTAATTTTAGACTTATATTTATATATAATTTACATTTTAGTTATGAAATAAAATGTTTTAGTAAAAATATAAGTACAAGTAATCTTTTTCGGCACTTAATGTTCATAAAATATCAGAAAAAATTAATAATAAAAAATCCATTCAAGTCTAAAAATGTGTTTAAAGCCAACACCAAAATGTAACAACAATATAAAAGATAAAAAATGGCTCTTAGGTTAGAATTATTGTTTATTATTATTCATTTTAAATTTTGAACTGGTTTGTTAAATTAATTTTAATAAGCTTTATTTTGAAAGTTCAAAACAACTAAATTTTTTTGTTTATTGTCAGCTCTAATTTATCTTTTTAATGTATGAACTTAATATATAATTTATTACATTAATTATGTAAAACTTTATATTGAAAGTTCAAAACTATTTATTTGTTCCATTCTAGCTCTTTAAATATCTTTCTAATGTATAAAATAAATATGAAATCTAATAGGGCGAAATTATGTTTTGATGTGCTGCTTAGATTTAATGCCATTTAATTCTATAAACAATAAAGGGATGACTGATTTTCTAAAAGTTTAAAATTTAAATAAAATGATTTTTAAAATATTAATTAAAAAAATAGAAATATATGATAATTGATTCCTCGTCAGAATTGCCTAATAAGACAACCATTAGTCGGGCTGCATTAGATGATGTTTATTTATCTATAAAGGAGCATATTTTAAATCTGATTGATTCAGGACCAAAATTCTGTTCTATCACATTTGATTTATTGACCGATCATTTCCAGCGTCGAAATTATATCACATTCAAGTTCAAGTCTTCATCATTTAGATAAAAATTTTGATTTAAAATATTTTACCCTGACAACTAGAAATGTGACACAAAAGCATACTGGTAAACCATATTGTAGTATTAAAGAAGAGTTCCATTTAAAAGTCAAAATAATACAAATGGTAACTGATGCTGGGGCCAATGTCAAAAGAAGCGTCAGATTGGGGAATTATGAGCATCATTTATGCTTAGGGCATGAACTTCATAATTTGGTTACAGTTAATGGCATAAAAAAGTTGCCAGAATTGATATTCTCATAAAAATTTGGAGAAATTATTTCAGCCCTCCGATATCGAGTAGCTGATTTGGTAATATGAAATTAAGGCTAATCATCGTAAATCTCTGCAGTCAATTTATGAGACAGGTCATATCTTGGATAATGATGATTCTGATTCATACCTTGATGACCATTTTGATATGTCTGATGAGGCGGATAATAGAAATGGCATTGCACCAACTAATCTAATTAATGCAAAATCTTTAAAATTAAATTGCCCTACCCGCTGGCACAACATATTAATTATGCTAGAAAGTATTTATAGTGTAAACAAAATTCTTATAATGTTCTATAAGAAAAGAATCTTTAAAACTCTTTAATAATGAATGGAATATGATTGATGAGCTTTACACAGTATTAAATTCATTCCGAGAGTCGGTAAAATTTCTTTCAACCCAAAAAAGATCGACAATAAACTTAGGATTATTTCGCAGTGAAATAGAAACCCATAAACAAATCAATAGATTAGCGACTCTACTTGATCGCAGATTTCAAAATCTTAAAATTGTTTCAGAATATTTAAATTCTAATTCTACGACATCATTGCAATTTAATTAAACATTTAAAACTTTTAGAACATGATAGAAATGCACAATGATAGATTCAAGTTGAAGATAATGGGCGGCAAACATCCATTTCTTATATAGCTAAAATAGCTCGTAAACATTCCCTTCCAAGCATCTATTATAACAACATTAGTAATCTAGAACAAGTAGTCATATTTTGCACAACCAACATAATATCCCAGAAGAGGATGCATTAACCTTTTGGAAGAAAAAGGGACTGGAACTTCCTAGGCTTGTTAATTTAGCTAGGAAGGTTAATTGTATACCTGCAACCAGTAAACCCAGTGAAAGAATTTTTTCCATTGCTGAATTTATACTCAAAAGGACTCCTTTACGGCCCACGAATCTTGATAAAATACTATTTATTCATGAAAATTATAATTTTGCTAATCTGAATTCTCATTTATTATATTTCATACTTTATATTTTGCTTGCATTCCAAATTTATATTTTAATTTGTTACATTAAAAATCAATAGAATATTACTAATATATGTGTTGTTTATGTGACTCTGATCTGAGTAAAAATGCAATTCCTTAGTCTATTTCTGAGAATGAGAAAATACATAAATTTAAATTGGAGTGAGAAAGTAAATAATTTAAGAAATGAAGAAAAGAGAGCCCAAATAAATTATAAAAAAATATAATACATTAATTTATATAAAAAAAAATTTTATGCACTGTCGAACGACAATGAAAAAATTACCACCACTGATTAAGATATCGGTGCACAGGTCTAAATATAAATATGTATATAAATATTATTAATAAATATATAATGTATCTTTGTCAATAGAGAGCTATCACATTTAATTATGTATGAATAATGCAAACTATGCTAATTTTATTAAATATATATCAAAAATTTACTCGGTATCCATGACTTCTCGAAACTGGCAGCTTCTTCGTTCAATATACCAACACTAGGTTTATAAAATTTAATAAATTAAATTACTTTCGTAGATAAAAGATTAAATTATTTACACTTCTTATTCGGATAATTGGGATACAATATTTTAAGAGTTTTTTTACCTTCAATTTTATCATCAATCTTAAAATGGTAAATAAAGTGTTATTTTCAGATTCAAAAAGTAAATAAAATTCTGCAGATAAATCATTAACTTTTATTACTAAAACGGCTTTCTAAATATAATGATTTTTTTAGAATTTATTAAGTGCAATGATTTGGATAAATATCAATAAAAAAAAATTTACTATTTCAATGTATCCTCCAAATAGTATTCTAGCACATCTACTTTCGCTTGATCACGTGGAGCAACTACAAATAATCATTTTAAATTTAGTTTGAAATTCTGTATTTAGACTTAATAGGAGAGGGGTAATTCCTTGATCTCCATTTTTAAATTTAACAAGAAAATTTTTGAAAAATTTTAAAAAGCAACAATCAAAAAATTATTCTGTATGTGTGTGTATGCATGTAAAAGGCCTGATAGAGATAAAAGAGAAATGATGATTATAATAGTCAATATTAAAAAAATCTGATTTTACTCATGCATTATAGAAGTGTCGTTTCTTAACAATATTATAAAAAGATATATTGTTGTAAGCAAATACCTTTAAAGTCTGCACAAACCGTGAAATGATATTATTCAAAAAACCCGGGGTGTTAAAAATAAATTTAAAAATTACAAACCAACCAGAAACTGAGGCGAATTTTTGTAAAATAAATTTAGATTTTTATAGGTTTAGTTTTAATAGCCTAGACCATGCCATAAAATGATTTTAAAAAAGGGACCTAGGCTGAACCTAAAAATATTTTTCAAAAACTCGGAGTAAAGCGAGCCAAAATTTGTGGTAGGAGGATTTAACAATTGTTTTTAAACCTGGGGCCACCATTTTGTATTTTATAAAAAGAAAATTTTTTAATATACCAACATACATAAAAAAATAAATTATTTTTAAATATTACTTTTGACAATGTGAGTGGATATGTTAGCCAAATTAAAATATTGTGCTATAAGATTTTCCAAATGAGAAGAAGGGCCCGTGTTGAGCAGTAGTTTAATATTCTTGTGCTTGGGCAAGAAGCATAACTTCATGTATATCAATATTAGGTCCACACATTTAACCCTGTCATTTATATCGTCCTGATATTTAATATTATATAATTCAGTGAAAAAATGAATTAAGCAAGAGTTAAATACAATAACATATCATCACTTGGTATGTGCCCCAAAATGTGCCCCCCTCCAGAGCCCTGCATGGGTTGTCCACTGGGACATTGAAAACTTTATCCTCGGGCTCCTATCATACTGTAAGAGGCAGCCCCCGAAGCTGAACCCAAGGCCCGAAAATTAAACATTAAAAAAATATCCTCTATAATTATTTTGCTTCATCGAAATGTCAATCAGAAACACATGTCATTTTCATCTAGCACATTTCACTTATTCATTTACGTATTTTCCATTTCCCAAATTAACAATTTCCTGTGAATGTGATTTGTAAAGTCACTAGTTAAAAATCTATTACTTACATATATCATATTCTATCCGGTTAAATAAAATGTTATACTCAGAGATTTGCAACTTTTTTTGACCATTAATAATAGTCTATTTATAAGAAGGTGGGTAACCAAGTGATCAATAGGTTATTTATGTGTTAAGTTTTATAAAACAATATTTGAAATATTTTTACGTTTATTCCTGCTCTGTAATTTAAAAGATATATATTTTATAATTTCAAGTCAAAGCTAAGAAAAATTTACTATGATGATATGCGTTATCCTTGAAAGTTCTGGATCGGAACTGATCAAATTCCTTAAAAATACCCATGGTGTGCAGTAAGTCAATATGGTGGTCGGCGAAACTCTGTATCATTGAAATAATTATAAAACGCAAATATGAGTTTGATTTTAATGAATGGGATGAAGATATACAAATAAAAGAATCGATCATAACAAATGGAAAAGGCTTGATGGCGGGAAATGGAAAAAGGGGATAAGAGAGGTAACTAGCCTATTGGGCTATGAAGCAATCATAAATAAAATAATTTCAGAAATGTTATTAGTTATTTTTAATTAAATAAAAATCAGCGGCCTGCAGACTCGGCCCTAAGCCCAGCATAAATAAATTTTTTGAAAAAATACCCAGGCCAGGCCAAATATTTTAAATAGCCATTATCAACTATAATAATTAAAAATAAAATGTATTTTATTTTTAAAAAATTTCCGGGCAGGGCTGTGCAAATGGTACATCTACAGGTCTCTGATAAGAACTATTAAAATGTATTTTTTAGAAAAGCATTTATATTTCTCACTTCTATCTTTTATTTATTTACTTTTCCTGCATTCATCTATATATAGGTCTAAATGTAGAAAATAAATGAACATCTTTTCTATATTCATTATCGCCTTTGGCATACAATGACATAGCTATTCCTTATATCATTATAAGACATTCTAATGAGAAAATGATTGATTTAAACTTGCTCATCATTTGCTTTTTCCCTAGCAATTGATTAACTTTCTTTCTTTCATTCCTAAATATATTTTTCTATCTTTCTCACTGTCATTTCTCATGAATTAAATTTACTTGCTCTCTAATCGGATCTGATATCCAGCAGTCTGTCCCACCTTTTCGTTCAAACTTGCAGCCATATATTCCGCTGACGTTACCACGTTCAAACGCGTGTTTTGGATGAAAATTATACGGGCTTGCTTCTTGTGAGACTTGCAATGCTCTAAAATATATTTTGGAGGCTTTAAAAAAATATTGATTATGATTTTGAGATTATAACATTTGAAGTAGGGCGGGGGGGGGGGGGGGGTATAAAAATCAATTACTATAGGAGGTGGTTGCTCCACCCCACTAACCCCTCATACACATTAATTTTATTAAATCAATTTGTGATGAAATTTGCATACAAAGCGTTTGTCGTTGTTTTTGAGCATAAATTATTTTTATAAGAGCACAAAATATGTAAATATAATTTTTTCTATTTTGTTCAATTCGAAAATCAAAAAGAATAATTTAAAAAATGTAATGTTGTAATGATAGTGCGCACATGTTGCAACGCAGCGTTTCAAAACGCAAATAATGCATTTTAAATTGAGAACATTTGCGTTTTCCATTTTAAATTATTTTTTAAAAGACAAACTTGCTTGCGTTTTGTGAAACTTTTTAAATTTTGAAGTGATAAAATGGATAACATTACATCTTCTATATTGTAAGAATAATTATTAAATGATATTTTTAGGACATGGAATGATGTTATCACTAAAAGGTTTGCAGAAATGTTGGAACCTGATGAACTTATTTGGAATCAAGAACATCCTGACCATAAAAAAAACTATTATTGTTATGGAACATTTAACTGTTATTGGTTCCAGGTATAAATATATAAGAATAAAAAATATAATTATTTAATTAGCTTAGCTTTGGAATTTCCTGGTTTTGATACCAGTCCTCTTTATCTCAATAAGAGAATGAGGAATTTAGGACCAATTGAATAAGGAAAAATTAGGAAAATCTTCAGGCTCATCAGAAGGAATTCATGAATATAAATACTAAAAATATATTAATTTTATGAATCGAGTTTGGACCGAGTTGGGTCTAATATTTTTAAATAAATTCGAACCTAGTCAGGCTTTATAAATTTTTTTAAATATAATTAAATTTATCAATTTTATAATAAATTTTTTATGTAAAAATATTTGATTTTATTTATAGAACCAGACGCTATATAACATATGTCATTTATTTTGATTAATTATAAAAATTAATTTCTATATTTAAATAAGTTTGTGTCGGACCAGTAAATTTTCTTAAAAAAAATTCTGGTCAGGGCTTGAAAAATTAGACCCAATGTAGATCACTAATTCTAATATTCAATATTATATCAAATATTGTAATCTTTTCGATTATGTAGAGCCTAAGTAATAGTTACACAAAAATGTTATATATTATATAGATATAACATTTTATATAAATAATCATATTCTTTAAATAAAATTCTTTATAAAATACATTCTCTATAAAATCATTCTCTGTAAAATCCTTCTCTGTAAAATCATTCTCTATAAATGACATTCTCTATAAAATCATTGTCTATAAAAATTTCTCTGTAAAATACATTCTCTGTAAAATCATTCTCTATAAATGACATTCTCTATAATTGTTTTCTCTATAAAAATTTCTCTGTAAAATACATTCTCTTTAAAATAATTCTATATAAAATAATTATCTATAGACATTCTCCTCTGTAAAAGTTTCTCTATAATTTTTTTCTCTGTAATGGTTTCTCTGTAATGACACGATGATACCCCATATTTTTATGGGGATTATTTTGCTTTATAAGTTTTGAAAAATAATATAAAATCAAATTCTTTTAATAAAGGAAGTTTAAAAGAATAACATTAAATCATTTTATTTTTTGAAATGACCATTGTAATATCTTAAAAAACTAAAAGGAAATTTGTTCATTGATATTAAAAATATTAATTAAAAAATGTAAATCGCATGAATTTGTTGGCACTTTGAAGGATTTTTCTGATGAATATTTATTTTTATAAATAACATTTGAAACAAATGATGAAAAAAAGAATATAAATATTAAAATAAATGAATATATAAATCCTTGCTTAGCCATGATGTCTCAAAGATAAAAGAAATTTTTATATGTTGCACAAAATTATTTTGAGCAAGTAAATTTATTTATAATTTTCTTTAAATAATAGATATTCAGCTAATTTTTAGTGAAAAATCATAAGTTTAATGTAAAAATTATTTTTTTAATAAATGCTTGTTTTAAATAAGAATTTAGTCAAAAGAATGGAAAAATAGGGATATTGACATTCTATTATTTTTTTATGATGATTAAATTGGATGAGAACAAAATATAAAAAATGTTGTTTACATATTTGTGCTCACATAATAAAAGTTTCTCTTCTTCAACAACAAAAGCAAACCATTCAATAAAATATATTAAATTGTAATTTTTTAATATTACTTGATTTCTTATTTGCAACAAACAATCTAGTGTTATTTTATTAATATATTTAATATTACCTACTTCGATATATCATCTAAAATTTTATCTAATTCTATGTAATTATTAAAAAGCCTATCAAAAAAAAGTCCAAAAAAGAAGGTTGGGGAAATATTTTGCACAGATTTTCCACACCCAAAATTTTTTGACCTCTAATATAAATTATAAACTTTTATATCAAATATTAACTAGTTTCCAAATCCTTTGTAACTAAAACTATATATTTCTTACAAATAAATATTCATTCTGAAATAATTTTTTAAAAATATTATAAATTAGGCTCATATTGCATGTATAACTTTGCATACCTGAGTAGTTTTACCACTAGCTATAGGTGCTGATATTATGGTAACTTGATTGTTGTTTAAAGAATTTAAAATATCATCTTTATATAAATTTATATCTTCCAGTCCATAATTAGAGCTATTACAATTAGGTATGAGTGCTAAACCTATATTGATACGTCCTACAGCTTTGTTTCTGTCCACTTCTATATTAGTGGGAAAGAGTTAATTGCATTGCTAAATTTATATACCTTCAGGAGGTGGATTTCCAAATTTTTCAGTTCGTAATAATAGATCTAATCTCTCTTTATGGCCCAATGGAAAATTTAAAATAAACTGTGAAATTTGTATTAATGTTTGTTGTGACAATTCAAATGTTGTAGGCTCATCTATTATAAGAAGGTTTTCATCTTTAACACATAAAACATATTTGTTTGGTCCTTTCCTAATTTTATAATTCATCTACCAATTCAAAAATCATTACCCTATGCTTTTCGATTTTAATCCTAGTATTTTGCATATTTTGTGAACAAATCTTCTTTCATAACTTAGTAATGAAGATGGGAATGACACTAAATAATTCATCAAAAGAGTAAAAAGATTAAAAATTAACATTTAACATCCTCATTCTTAAGAAATTTGTTAACGTTCAATACGATGCTTAATTTGGTATCTTCGTCAATATCTTCTGTAATATCTCTGTTCCCTTCCATATTTTTCTTATTCTACTCTTTACATATGATGAATATTCGTGCAGCTAAAATGCGATGCATAGGCGTTGGATGATCCGCCAATCACTTAAAAGTCATTATGGTTAATCTATACAACGAATATAATTACTTTAAAGTTAATTCTAAATCGAATAATATCTTATGCTGATGATATCGCCATAGTATCTACAAGTGTTGAAGAAACAAAAAATATGCTATACTTATTAGAAACATTAAGTTTGAGATTGTGTCTAAAAATAAACTTTAATAAAACTTTTATTCTTCCTTCCCCAAATGCTACTCAAAATTTAAATTTTACAATTGGAGGAAATGTGATTAAGATTGTAGATAAAATAAAATATTTAGGAGTTATGCTTGACAATAAAGGACGCTGTAAAGAAGAATTGAAAATTAGAATACAAAAAGCGAGAGGAGCGTTTTATAAATATATGAAAATTTGGAAAACGAAAAAGATTTCTGTATACACCAGGCTAAGAATTTTCAACTCTACTATAATTTCTATAATATTATTTGGTGGGGGCTTATGGGAAATTAATAAAGAAGAAAATAGAAGACGACAATCATTCATAAATAACTGCCTCCGAACTATATATGGCATCTTTTACCCAAAAGTAATATCTAATAATAATTTATGGAGAATATCAAAACACACTCCAATTTATATTACATTAAAGAAACGTCGTATTCAATTCCTAGCTCACATCATTAGGAACTCGGACTATAATCTAGGATGCCATTACATTATATTACATGGCTCTACACTTATAATATAAAAGAATACACAAAATATAAATCTTTATGGTATTATAAAACCATAAAAGATGTTATGGAACTAAACTTAAATATGAAACAATTTATCAAGTTAAACAACTGCAAAAATTCTATAAAGAAGCTCTTCAGAATTAAAGAAAAATTTTTAAATAAAAAATATCTTGTCTTGATTTTATAATGTTAATCTCAACTAGTATTTTCCAAACCTTTCAGGACTTCAGGACAAACCGAAATGGAATTGGTATGCTCTTTAATTTTTTTTTTATAGTATGAATTCACAGCTTTAATTATAAAAAATTAAATATAAAATCAGCCACAACTAGTGTTGTTAAAAAACTAAGTCAAGCCAGCTTAGCCCTAAACTCAGCCAGTTTTTGAGCCGAAAATTAGACTCAGACTCAAGTTTGGGAAAAAGTTTTGAAAATTAATATGGGTTGGACTGGGCTTGGAAAATATTCATCAAGATTAATATTTGCTTGCACCTGACTTGGGAATATCTTTTACAAATTATTATGGGCCGGGCTAGGAAAAAATTTTCAAAATTATTATGGGTTGAGCTAGGCTTGAGAAATTTTTTTAAAAATTATAAGGTCTTGGACGCTTGGAAATTTTTTCCAAATATTATGAGCTTGGACCTGGCTTGAAATTTTTAAATGTTAAATGTTAGTCTTATGTAATCAGTAATATATTTACAAAGAATTTTGATATTGGGTAAAAGCTCATTTAAAAATGTTTCCACTCTTAGTCCTAATGGGATGGACTCAATGACATTGGTTGGACTTGACCTAAGTGGAGAGGTGGTGGGGGGGGGGGGGGTTTAAAAATAATATAAATTGGATATGATTTTTAAATAATAGGTAGCATCTTTCTTAAAAAAACGAATAAAACTCTCATTCTCCGTCATTTTTGACGGGCTATCTACTAGTTTATAATAACTTGTAGCCACAGAAATTGTATAGCTAATGAATATATTAATGGCGTAATTTTTAATGTTCAGATATACTGAGGAGAAATATATTCATCTAAAAACCATTCAAAAGTTAAAAGATGCCGTCAAAGAAAAATCACTTAAGTCATAAGCAGTTATTTATAACCAGGTCATGGCACAAGTTAAAGAAACCGTTGATACTCAAAGAAATCCATCAGCTATAACAGCTATTCCAACTTATGGATATGTCTAATTTTAATTTTAGATATTCATCGGGGAAAGTAAGGAATAGCATATATTTTTCATAATATTTGTCTTTATAAGGAATTACGAATAGCCTTAATGATTCTTCTTAATTTTAATAATTTACTGTAACTTTCTTGAGTATTTCATGTACTACTAAATTGAGTATGTTGCAAAACATCGTACATGTAAAATTTTACAAGTTGGGTGTTTATATTATAGTTGTATTCGAGTTTGCATTATCACAACTGTTGTGAATGTTAGAATTTGCATAAAGATTTCTTTTGGATTTTGTTGTACTTTATGGAATTTGCATAAAGAATTTTTGAGGATTTATTGTTATAACGCGTGATAAAAAGATTATATTTGAATAGTTATAAAAGAGTATAAAAAGGCAAATTTTTACGATATAAATAATCTTTGTTTTTTTTAAATTATTAATTTTTTTAATTATATTTTATTTTATTTTATTTTTTTATGATTTTTACTATTATAATTTTGAATAAAGAATTAAAGTTGATTTTATGATTTCGTGATTCCTAATTAATATTAATTTCCTTTTTATATATATATTTGTTTTCTATTTTTATATTTAGGTTTTGATGCACAATGACAATCTTGTCGTTGTGACAATGGTGTTGGAGAGCGGAGGAGACCGGCCCTTTACAACCTTCAGTCTGTGACCGGTGGGACAACAAGGAGATGTGTCAAACTGTATTCTAATACAAAAAAAAAATTCCAGAAGAACGTAAGAAAAATATGTAAATAAAGATGAAAAGGAAAAATTATGTTGTTAAGATTATGTTTATGTAGGAATATAAAATCTAAAATTAAAGACAAAGGTAACATTCATAGTAGATAGAGATAATTGTGTTTAGTTATTTAAAGGTGATAATTAGGAATTTTATATTTAGAAGTTACTGGTAAACTAAAAACCAATGGAATTTTGAAACTAATAAAGACTATGATATTTTAGATTTTAGAATTATTATCAAGTGATCACTAGAAATAACTTTGACAAAGAAATAGAAACATAAATTGCGAAAGTTAATATTTAACTAATAGGTTGCTGAGATATAATAATTAAAAAATTCGGTGAATAAGATTAGAATATAACTTTATTGTTAGGAAATAGTTGATTAAATTCTTATTGAAGATTTACGTTTAACTTTTATTTTAAGGGCTGCGAGAGATAAAACAGCCTCAAGGATTAATGTGAATTAGTATATTAGGTTGTAGATTAACCAAAAAATCTTCATAGAGAGAATTGGCTTTTCGTCATTAGAAAATTTATGCCGCAATCGAGCTCAATTTGAGATCGGATTTTTATTTTGAATTTAAGAAGAATTATACAATATTATTCTAATAATACAAAAGGAAAAACATGCTTTAGAAATATACATATCAGTTTTCAACAACGGTTGTGCGAAAAATTATAATGATTAGATTTCATAAGTTCTTCAAAGACGTGGGGTGAAAACCATAGTGATTAGAATTAAGAGGTTGTTCATAAACGTAAGTATGAAAACTTTTATGATAGGTCATTGATTTCTCAACAACGTATGTATGAAAAGAGATTTATATATGTCAGCAGTTTTTTTTAAAGACTGAGTGTCAAAGAGTACATGAGGAAATAAATACACAATGATAATTTTTTTAAAGAGATAGGTTTTGATATATATTTTAGAATAGTATTTTTAGATATAAATTTAGTATAGACATGGCTGAAAAGAAGATGGGATCAATAGCTAAAGGATGAGTACTAGTAAATTTTTCAATGAAAATATGGGTCTAGGCTTCATTAAGGGGAGAGGGGTGATAGAATTTGATATATTTATATAATTTATTATATTTTGCTACGTGTTATAAATTTAAGATTTAGTATAATTTACGCCATTTATTAAAGGCAGAATTAGTTTAGAGGAGATAAATGTAGACATTAGGATAAGGTTGGTATAATTATATATTTTAATAGTATATTTGTATTAGGTAGTTTATATTTGAGAATAAATATAAGAAAGTGATAAAATATTTCAGAAGTTATTTAAATAGATTATTTTAGGTAGAAGTAGATTAGATGTGATTACCCGATATCTCAGCAAGGGCAAACTGTCGTAGAAGACCCGAAGGTCTGAAAGATAGATACGATTACAAGAATTAGAGGCAACAACCAAGCAATTACAAGAGAAAGGGGGAAAACAAGCAAATTGATAGAAAAGAGGGTGAAAACGTTATGCTACAATCGTTAATCGCGGATCAATAATAGCCAATTATTATCGAGACTTGAGTCTAAGATATGGAAATCGACAATCATAGGAACAAGAATTCGTGAAAACCATCGTTTATCGCAGACCAATCGTTTATCGAGATAAAAAGCTAATCGTGGATTACAAGAGAATGATAGAAAACAAGCAAGCTACGATGAAACTGGATGGCATCGATAATCGTTCATCAAGATTGGATCGTGGAAAACAAGCGTTTATCAAGTTCGTCAGTGGCCTACAGAGATAAAAAGCTGATCATTTCCCAGGGTGACAAGCGACAGATAGAGTTCAAAAATTTCAAGCGACAAAGCCTTCGTTAGAACTTAGAAGACAGCAAAAATTAAGAAGAATAAGTCGAGATCGAAAGAAGATTGATCATTCGCAGAATGTTGGGTCTAATTTAAGTAGGGAGGTGTTGTGAATGTTAGAATTTGCATAAAGATTTCTTTTGGATTTTGTTGTACTTTATGGAATTTGCATAAAGAATTTTTGAGGATTTATTGTTATAACGCGTGATAAAAAGATTATATTTGAATAGTTATAAAAGAGTATAAAAAGGCAAATTTTTACGATATAAATAATCTTTTTTTTTTTTAAATTATTAATTTTTTTAATTATATTTTATTTTATTTTTTTATGATTTTTACTATTATAATTTTGAATAAAGAATTAAAGTTGATTTTATGATTTCGTAATTCCTATTTATTATTAATTTCCTTTTATATATATATATATTTGTTTTCTATTTTTATATTTAGGTTTTGATGCACAATGACAATCTTGTCGTTGTGACAACAACTTATATCGATATTATAATTTTTTATAA